GGCCGTAGTATGTGTGTGAGGGGGGAATTAAAATTTACAGTTATTAATAATAAAATTTTTCCAGTTGTATAAAATTTAACTAATTAGCATTGTTATTGATATTATTTTATATATCATAAATGATTTCTATGGTTTTTTTATTTAGTAATAAAATACAACATAAAATATAATAACAGCAAGGTCAAAAAAAAAAAATTTTTTTAATAAAAATCAGGTCAGGTTGGATCGGGTCAGGTCAAGTTATTTTTATATTTGGGTTGACACTTAATCCGATCTGAAAAAAATGAGACAGGTCGGGTTAAGTCAATTACCTGACCCTACCTGACCCGTTCAGAGCTCTAATCACCAAATGTTTCTAATTTGAGGTCAATAGAAGATTAGCTTCATAATTGCTTTTTAGTAGTTGATTAAGAGACGCGTCAATTCAGTAAGTGAAGCACTAATCAGACGTTTTCTAAGTCTTTTGCCCTCATCATTATTGTCTTAAATGTACCATCTTTTTCTAAAACATATGAAAGCTAATTTATATGGTTTTAAATAAACAAGTTTTTCCATTTTCACAAGGAATGTTTGCAATTAAGGCAATTCAGTATGCATTTGCAATTCAGATTTCCACTGCGCCAATCCATATTTCGGACCATGCCACCATTATTAACAGTTTTGCAATCTGCTGAATGCGTATTTATTACTTAAAAGTATAAATATATCTTTAACAAACGATTGTACAAAGAATTTCTTTCTTTTTTTCTTTTGTTTAAGGAAAAATGTTCCTACTTGGTGTTTGTAATTTTAACAATAAATATTGTGGTTGTCAAACTTATAAAGAAGATGAGAATAATCCAGAGAAATGTTATTATTGCCATCATTATAATGCGTTTCATACCGGTTTTTCTCCTGCACTTCACAATACTTCAACGCCATTATTAGGAGCTTGTCAAAAAGATGGAGTTTTCTGTGGATGTCAAGCTTTTTTAGCTAATCCTAATAACGAATTGAAATGCAAATATTGTGATCATTTTACTGCATTTCACAAGAATACCTCACCAAGTATCGTTCCTGGCTCAATTAATATTGAAAGTAATTTGCCATCATACTTATTAACATCAAGTATTAATAATTCTGGAGATTCTAGGTTAAGAGAAGAAGCCATTAAAAATAGACATATGCCGATTACTAAAAAGAGGAAAAGAAATCAGTCAAAATTTCAGAATCACAATTCACCTAGTATAGTTGCTTCTAGAGGTCGACCTGCTAACGTTTCACTTTATCTTAATCACATAATATTGTTTACACAAAGAAGTTGGGAAAATAATTCAGCTCCAAGAGAAAATACTTCAGCTTGGATTGAAATGAGAGATAATGGATTCATTATAGAAAATGTATTATTTAATGAAAATACTTCTGAAGCTATTAATGATTTAATTACCCGTTCTTTTCCTTCCGTTAATGAAGATAATTGGATTTTATTAAACGCTGATTCTGCAAGTAAATTAAAAATTGCTACCTGTCAGGTAATTATATAAATTTTTACTAGCTTAAAATATATTTAAATATTTTTATAATTCGTAATTTGATGTTGTGATTTAGGAAAAATCTTTAAAGAATTTTAGAGAAAATATGTCAAAAAGCAACAAAAGATTATACCTTGGTAATCACAATTATAATAATATTGCTTTTTGTTTAAATAACATATTTAATAATTTACTTTTATCAATTTTAGCTCTGACCTCAGATAAATCTAGTGAAGCAGAAGCGGATAATAATCAAGATAAATATTCTGAAATTAAAAGCGAAAACACTGATTGATTCAGAGTTTCTTGAAATATAATTTTCAAATTTAAAGGATTTATGATAGATATACTGTATATATAGAAAGTTAACATATCCAGTATCACCATTGATATAATTCTGTTACTCTTACGAGATGGGATTTGTTTTAGCTTTATATCAATATAAAGAGAAAATGTTATGTCTTTATCTCGAGCTTTTATATTTTGCTAATATATTATGCGATGCATCAAAAAAAAAATAATAATAATAAATTATCGATTATGCAACGATTGTGATCAATAAGTTATGGTCTGTTTTTGATGTAAAAAATTATATATATAATCTGAAAATAAACCATACAGTCAGCTTTCGATATAACGAACTCGCAAAATAACGAATTTTTACTCTCACGTGACATTTAACTATTCACAACTCTTGTTATAACGAAGAAACCAATTAAATTCTTCATAATTTCATGAGTTTTGCGCCAACAGTCCTGAACATCCATCCTTATAAAGCGTGACAAATTGTTTATTAGATAATAAATTGAAAATAATTGCACTAGCGATTCATACAATATATTTTTCTTTCAATAATTTTTGAAAAGTAGGACAAATAAATTAACTGACAATTTTTCTAAATTTACGAACGATTCAGTTGGATATGTTTAATGAAGCTATGCTACAACATTCATCATGATGTGTTCAACACATAACAATTCCAATTTTATTCTTATAAAAATTATACAAATTACGTTTGATAATTATTAATTCCATATTTAAAACAAAGGTTAGTTTAAAGAAAAAAATTGTTTTTACTGTCAATTTAAAATTTTCTTTATAACTATGGTGATATTTACATAGTTACACAATTCGTTTAATGTTACTGGAAATCTGGGATAGCCTATTAATCTTTTGTAAAGCCAATCCACTTCACATTCTTGAATGCTTTTTCGCCTAACGTTTTGTGATCAGTAATTTTCAAATCTTTTTTATCATTTATAATAATTATGAACCCATCAATGAGCGTGTTATCAACATATTTCATGTCTGAGTTTTTTTGGAATGAAAACTAGAAAAATGATCATTTATCGGAATCTTTTCAGAATTTTTTTTAAAAGGTATAAAGTATCGTATAATAATGATGACGGTTTGTTGAGTAGTCACCTATGTTCGATACGGATACAGAACTATGTGATAAACCGCTTGAATTGATATCAAATATTAAACAAGCCAAGTTTTAATGATGAATCAACGTTGATAGCATCTTTAAAATATCACAAATTCAGTTTATTATATATATGCATATTAATTTATTTTATTAATTATTATTTCTATGTATTATTAAAAACCAATATATTGCATGAAAACCCAATCACAAAATGAAATAACTACTAAAATATTCTAAATTTTCAATCGAATATAAAACAATCTCAATATTTTAATGAGCAAAAAAATTTTGATACACGATTTGACCTATTAACCGCTTTCTTAATATAATAATGAAAATGATTATACATTAAAAGTATTTAACTTTTTGTAATTAATCTAATGTAAAGCCAATCCAATCTACATTTTTTAATGCAGTTTTTCCCAACGTTTTATGCTCTGTATCTTTCAAATCTCTTTCTTCGTTTATTATAATGACAGGCCCATTAACATTTGTGTTATCAACATAGCGAGCTAAATATTCGTTTTGTGATTCTTTTGATTGCGAATCATATAAAAGTTTATAACTTCCGTTTAGATATTCTATAGTACATTTGCGAATTTTATTTCCTGCTAAAAGTGTACTAAGATCATTAAATGTTCCGATAATATAACGGGATTTTTTTGTTCCATCTGTTGAGATATATAGACCTTTGATTACATTTGATTTATCACTTAATAATTGTTCATTCAGATTCGATACTTTTTCCATTTTAATGAAAAATTTTATCATGGATTAATAGCCTTAATTAACTGATATATAAAGAATTTTTTATAATACTGTATTATCAATATTAACTGAATAATAATACATTAGTTAATGTATTTTCTTTTGTATAATATGGTACTTTTTAAATCTTTCAGGTAATAGTACAACGCTAAATGTAATTTGGAATTGAACGTAGCCAATTCTTTTTTATTAGTAATTATCATAATAAATAAGTCATATAATTACTAAAATAAAATTTTAGAGGTTTATGATTTACTTTATTTAAATAAATAAATATTTTGGCCAACAGATTGGCAACAATTAATTAAAGAAAGTATACAAATTCAAAACTTTAAAATAAATGCAACTAAGATTTTAAAGTTGATTTTAAGCGTCAATTGGCAATAGTGCGAATTGACACAACTTTTGTACAACTCATAAATTTAATTGCTAAAAAAATCTCGTATGCAACTTTTTCAAATTAAAAAAAAAAGAGTTGAATTAATATAAAAATTTAATATCTTTATTATGATCATGAAACAGCTATTTTTGTTATTTGTAAATAAATTTTGCTAGCTTTTTTTCCTTCTCTTTGTAGACAGCACAACCGCTTGTCTCAGATACTTAACACTTTACTTTATTAAGCATTAAATTAAATTATTGATTACTTTTCAACATTTATGGCATTTTTATTTTTTTTTTTATTGTTATTGTTTATTTAATGTATATCTGCATTTTTGAAATTAAATAAGTTTAAATACATAATGAACAAAAGTAATTGAAAAGAATGAGTAACAAATAATAAGTAATTGTTATTTTTGCTGATTATTGTTTTTTATTTATTTATATAATACACTTTCCAAATGTCAGATTGATTATTATTTATATTAATGAATTAACAAAAACTAATAAACTAAATTAAAATTTAAATTCGAAAATAGTATTATTATATTCTTTTTCACTATATCTTTAATTTTTTAGCATAATTGTCAAATTATAAAATTTTTTTTAGACATTTTTTGAGTATTATTATCAGACTACATTCATTACTTAGAATGCAAATTCCTTGTTATGATTGAAATTGATTACAAAAATATTTTATATAATTTGGATCGCAAAAGACAAAGTTAAGTTTCAAATGGAATGAGTAAATCAAAAGTTAAGTACATACTTTTATTTCAAAAAATTAATTATTTATTATTTAAATTAAGCATCAACAAAATTTAATGCGCCAATGTGGTACTTTAAGTCTTTAATACAAACATTTTTGCAATTTTTAATAACTTAATACAAATTTGAGTTTTATTATACGATAATTAGTTATTGCAAGCACACGGTATTTGTTTAATTTTAATAAATATTTGTTTTGCACGATACTAATGTGTAATAAAAATTGTGTATGTATTCTGATGAATACAAGCGATTCTAATCAGTAAAGAAATTGTAGCCACATTATAAACTTCTTGCAATTCAAAATGATCCAACTCAAATAAAAAATATAATATTTAATCTGAAATAGTAAGCATTGATTTGTTAATAAACTAGTGATGCGTGATAAAATTATTTAACAATAAACACATAGTATATATTAATGATTACATAATTAACAACCTTACTTGTCTTTGCAATTATTGTAGTCATAACGATAAAGTTAATTACTATTTATTGAAGTTACAATTGCATTGTAATAATTTAATTACGATAAAGATTATACATAATTTCATTACTTTTCTAGGACCCCGAGCAATATATATAGGTAATAACAAATTTACTAATAGCTGTACGCATCTCTTCAGGGCCAGCACTATGTAATGCTGGTCAGAAGTATCTAAAAAAAGCAATGATCTACACGATTTTAGGCTCATTTTACGCAAACTACGTATTGTTACCTTTTATGTATTATTCGGATCCTACTTTTCTTGTCTTTGCAATTATTGTAGTCACAAAAATAAATGATATTTATTAAAGTTACATCTGGCATTGTAATAATTATATTGAATATAATTATGATTATACATAATGCATAATTTAATAACTTTTTCGTCATTGCAATTATTTTAGTTATAATGACAAAATTAATTGATATTTATTAAAAGCATTGTAATAAACATATTTAATATAATAAATATGATAATATATAAAATATAATTTAATGACTTTTCTTACTTTTGCAATTATTGTAGTCATAAAGTTAATTGCTATTAGCGGGCATATAATTTTAAATCGTAACCACATACTTTATTTATATAAATAAATACCGATCAGTTTTTATCCTTTTAATCATGTCGTTTAACGAATCTGAAAAACATATTTTTACTAGGGTTTGAATCTGACCTTCTCAGATTTAAATCTGAATTCTCCCGATTTGGATGTAAATTCAATTATATCTGGTTCATCCAGATTTATTATATTCAAATTATATTGATCGCTTCATCTCAGACGTTTAAAAATAATTGTTTATAATGTTTAAATATCTATTTATTTTTTTTGAATCGTAATGTAATCAAATTATTTATTAATAAAATAGACATCTATATTTCTGAAACGGTTCTTATCGCAATGAATAATTATCTAAAATAATTTTGTATACTATATTAAAAAACAATACCAACAATTCACATTTGTAAAGTTGCATTTAACAAATTCGACAAATACTAAACTTCCACTAAATCTATAATTGCAATTAGTATACTTTATAGTTTACTGTCATCAAAATTTGTATAGATACTATTGCATTTGCAACTTGCAAGTAAATTTTTTAAAATGCCATTACTTTACTATTAACTATTAACTATAAAGCTCTATCATATCGGCAGATTTTGTTTCATCCGTAATATAACGTGCTAAGGCTTTGCCATACTAATTAAAAATTATTTAAACAATCCTCTACTATAGATAACGATAAGTAATTAAAGAAGCCAATTTTAGTTTCTTTAAATGTTTATCTTCAAAAACATCTTTGTAAATAAGAAACTACAGAAGAAAAAAAAGAAGTTAGAACAAGATTTTATTCAGAAAAAAATAACAAAAAAGAAAGAAATAGAATAGAAAAACAAGCTTAAAAATAAGTAAAACTTTTTACTATAACTATTCATACAACTTATAAAATGACCTACCACAAGTTAGATGTGTTGTTGACTATGTTAAATGGGTTAAAACGGGTTTTATATTAAGTTTTTTTTGTCTTAACATAAGGTAAAATTAAAAAAAAAATTTTTTTTATTTATTTAGCAGTTTGAACACAATATTAAAGAAACTCAAATTTCTATTTTATTTTATCACTATTTTTTGTATTATCGTTTAAGTTTAATTTTTGTGATAAATACCGTAATGTTTGAAGATGAACTAATACATCAAGTTAATGTTGATTCTATCCTTAATTTGAAAAATGTTTTTTTTTATAACGCTGTTACTACACAAATGTTGACTTGAATTTAAACTCTTATTACGCGATCTATTTTTTTTTAATAACAGAGTCGTTGTATTTTTTTTTAATCGATCTAAAAAAATTTTGCATTTTTCACATAATTTATAGTCATAATACCAATTATAATCGCAATTTTTTACTAAACAAGCTTGGTAAACGATCGAATTGCTTGGCCATTTAATTGTTATTGAAGATAATTGACATTGATGATCGCATATGTTTCGCAACATCTTTGATACTTTTCAAGGAAAAATAGTTGTTATATATAAATTAATTTCATAATGCAATAATACATAATACTTAGAGTCTAAAAATCATAATTCAATAATGCAATGCAATTATGACATAATTAAGTTGTAGTACTACATAAAGTTAATACATATTTACTATAATAATTATATTTATTACAATGTGCTTTAACCAAAAAAAAGTTGTATAGATTTCTTTTTAATATTTTGTATAATTATTCAGTCATAAAAAAATGGAAAATTGTTCTTAATCAACAGAAGGTCTTATATTTTTTGTATTGGTGTTCTTTGAGAGGCTTATAAGTTTTGTTGATTCATCAACTAATTTTTGTATTTGTTGAAGAATGCAACATGTCAGATCAATTTGAGAGCATCGATTTTCTCGCTAATAAAAAAATTTCTGAAATTAAAAAATCTCATAATTTCTTACTGAGAAAACTACTAAAAGGTTCGCGAGAATGAAAAAAATTTTAAAAAATGAATTTTAGAATGTAACCTCTTAGGCAGAGGTATAGGTACAAACATATAAGTCTATCAAGAAGACTGGTTATTACAATATCAAGTTCGATACTTTTGATTTGATATAGATAACATTAATAAAAATTCATCTAAAATCAAAAAATGAAAAGAGTGATATTATTTTATATAGCTTATGTACTCTTTATACCACTTCTATTAATTACTAATAAATAATTTTTTTAATGTTGTCGTAATTTACGTGATTCTTATTTTATTTATCCGTTTTTAGTTAATCTTTTATGTGAATAAAATTGCCAATAATCATTAGAATAACTATGTAAATTTAGTCTATAAAATCTCAACTAATCAAGTTTTTGATATTCATCACAGAAGACTCGTCATTGGAATTATCTACCAATGCTAAAATTGTTGTTAAAGCAACATGATTAATAAATATCAATACATTATTAAAAAGAAATGCTAACTAAAAATGTAATTACCAAGATACAATTTTCTGTTGCTTTTTGATATATTTGATCTCAAATTCTTTAATGTTTTATTCTAAAACACAACACAAAATAAGAATTAAAATATAAAAAATAAACTGTTAATTTAGAACCCAATATTAAATAATTTTTACCTGACAAATTGAAGATTTAAATTCACCTTTAGTACCTTTTAATATAATGATATTATTCGCAACAATATCAATTTGAAATAAACTAACAATTTTAGTATTAAAATTTTTAATATCATCCTTATTAAATGTTACTCGTTCAATAATTAAACCTCTTTTCTTCATTTTTTTCCAAGTCGAAGTATTTTTTCTTGGAGCTGATTTATTTTTCCAACTATCTTTAAAAAACAATAATATATTGTTAAGAGTAAGTGATTGGCTTTTGGGATGACCTGTAGTTAAAATTTTATTTCCCTCCCTTCTAATAATGCCCACAGACTTTTTGTTGATAGATTCGGACAAACTAGAAACACTATTTGGAAAAGTCATCTTATGAAGTGCAGAAAAATGATCACAATATTTGCATTTCAATCGGTCATTAGGAACAGCGAAAAAAGCTTGACATCCACATGAAGCTCCCTCTTTTTGGCAAGCTCCCAAAAATGGCGTTGAAGAATTTCGAAACAAAATGGAAAACCCGGTATGAAACGCGTTAAAATGATTGCAATAAAAACATTTTCCTGGATTATTATCGTTTTCCATATAAGTTTGGCAACCACAAAATTTATTGTTAATATTGCAAACACCAAGTGAAGACATCTTCTTTTAAACTAAAAAGAAAAAAAATAATGTATCACGATTAGTATATTTATATTTTATTTCATTGCGCAGCAAAGATCAATGCTGCGGTCAGTTGAAATATGACTTCTTTACTTTTTAGTTTTAAATCACACGCAGTTACAACCAAATTTGATACATTTACACCTATTTCTAAGTGATAAACTAAATATTTCCATATTTGATCGGTAGTATCAAAGCATCAAAATATTATAATCGTTTCTTTATAGTGATAGTTTTCTAACAATTACATAAATTATAATATAAACGAATCCGTTTTTTTCCCCAAACATAATATTTATAATTAAAAAAATTCTATACAATAAATTTTTCTGCTAAACAAAATTTTCTTTGTTATTTATCATATAATAAATTTAAATTTTTTTATTATTCTAGTTAATTCACTGAGTTTGGTTTTCTCTAAATTTATTTTTTCAATGCATTTGCTGCATAACTTATGATTATGATTTACTTTAATTCCACATTTGGCAAAGCATTCTTTTAATTCGTTGTTAAAGTCATCATCGTGCCATGGAATTAAACGCTCACTTATTTTCCAACATCTATGGCATCTATAATCAGAAATTTTCTTTTTTTCCTTCTTTTTATATTTATGATTCATTTGATGTATTTTTACATTTCTGAAAATAACTAAGTTTATATACATAATGAACAATGCAATTATATTGCTTGATAATTACGTTTATTAAAAAATTGTCATAATAACTGGGTAATTTCCGCAACTTATTTTTCCTTTAAGTAATATATCTTATTTATGTACTATACTTAAAAACAAGTGTTTTTACATTACTGATTGTATTATTAATCAAAGTATTATTTTGAATCTACTGTGTTGATTGCATTGTATTGCATTGTGCTTTAAATTTAATATTTGCCTAATTTCAAACTTATAATCGTTGTCATCATATATTAACTAAATCAAATAATTACATTTGTATTATTTTTTTCATTTCATTTCAATATGTTGGTTTTTTACTCTTTTGCTAATGCTTTCCGTTCATTTCAATTTAACTTTAAATGCGATACTATTCTTATTATTATACTTTAGATTTTTATGACTTAATACATTATAAAATATACTAGATGTTTTTTTTCATTTTTTCACTACGACAATTTCGACTTTCTGTCCTATTCATAAATTAATTAGCTTTTGAACTAATAATAGTCATAAATTACATCATTTACCTTTAGTAGATCGACCCATAGATTCCAACCTATTAATACAATCTTCTAGCCTTCTAGTATTTATACAATCTGTCACAATAATGTTGGTATGATTAGTACAATAATTATAAAAATTAATAATAAGTAAATTCATTACCTTTAAGTAATTTGTTATATTCTCAATCCTTAAACTTAATAACTTTAAAAATGGATCCAAAATCAATAATATCTTGATTTTTGCTTTGAAAACTTTTTAAAATTCTATTTGATAGCTCCAAACTTAACAGTTTAACTCTTCCCTTTTTATCAAGTAAAATATTGGAACTCTGAAAATCAGAATAATTTAATAATAATTGATTTAAAATAATATGCAAATTTTTATAAGAAATTATCATACAATATTGATGCCAAAAATATCTTCTTCATGCAAATATAATATTAATCTCGAAATTTGAACAATTATATTTACAAAATCGTCCATATAAATAGTTTGACGACTATTTTGAAAATACTCAATAATTTACCCATTTTCTGCAAATTCCAATACTAAGGAAAATGGCTTATCCTTTCCTTATAATTTAAATGTTAATTTAATGAAATTTTTTATTTTTTTAAAATTAATTTAATATACCTTTTCTAGTCACTCCATATCACTGGTCAGAATAGTCCATTTCATCCAAATTTCAAATTGATGAATGTTGGACGAAAGTTGGTTTAAATTCAGCTGATCATTGCCAAAAAAATCGTCAAAGTTATTATGGACGATTTGCACACTTCGCCTGCCACTTGGCAATCACAAATCGGCAAAATTCATTAAAAAATCGGAAATAAACTATTCGTCAACTTTTACTAGACATTCGTCCAAATTTCAAATTGCCGAATGTTGGATGAAATTAAGTCTAATTTTGTCTAATTGTTAATAATTTTATGTATTTAGCTTATTTTTAATTTTGTAATAACAATCAATTGATTAAATTTTATTATTTCGCTTTATTAAAATTACATATTAAAAATTATCATATTAAATATCTAATATATACATTCTACAGTATCTGTCTATTTACACCTACCATCCACCATCCACCATTCACCATTTACCATTCACCATCCATTGTCAACCATTGTCAACCATCCTCCACATCCATCGTCTACTACCCATCATCCACCATCCATCGTCCACCATCGTCCACCATCATCCACTCATCCAAAATTATCTATGACTTACTCTATCTGACAAAGTATGAAAGAGAAACCTACAAAAAAAAAATAAAGAAATGGTTAGTAAACCGTTATTATTACAATAATAAAAGGTCAAAGTTTTGAAGATTCAAAACCTACCCATTCAATAGAAGTCCAAAGGAAAATCTACAAAAAAAAATAAAGAAACGGTTAGTAAACCAATTCTTTAATAAAAAAAATTTAAGTTTCGAAATATTTCGAAACTTACCCAACCAAAAATCCGAAGTGGAAACTTACCTATATATCCAAAACCCAACCGAAAGTCGAAACCTACAAAATAGAAAAATAATCAAAATAAAATTAAAAAAATATCTTTTTTTTAAAATAAGTTTTGAAGTTTCAAAGTTTCTTCGAAACTTACCCACATATCCAAAGCCCAAGAACTGAAAGTCAAAACCTACAAAAAAGAAAAAAAAAATTAAAATAAATTAAAAAAAAAAATATTTTTTTAAAAAAAAAAGTTTCGAAGTTTTCACTCCGAAACTCATCCGTATATCTAATGCCCAAGAACCGAAAACCGATACCTACAAAATAGAAGAAAAAAATTAAAAAATAACTAAAAAAAATAATTCTATTTAAAAAAAGTTTTGAAGTTTTCACTTCAAAACTCACCTATCCTATATATCCAACGCCCAAGAACCGAAAGCCGAAATCTACAAAATAGAATAAAGAAACAATTAAAAAATATTTTTTTTTAAAAGTTTCGATTCTTTCATTCTGATCGAAACTTACATATAATATATTCAACGTCCAATAACCAAAAGCCGAAACCTACAAAATAGAAGAAAAAAAAATTAAAAAAATTATTCTTTAAAGAGTTTCGATTCTTTCACTTCGAAACTCACCTATATATCCAATGCCCAAGAACCGAAAGAAATCTACAAAATAGAAAAAAGAAACAATTAAAAAAAATTACTTTTAAAAAAAAGTTTCAAAGTTTTAACTTCGAAACTTATCCATATATCCAACGCCCAATAATCGAAAGCCAAAATCTACAAAATTGAAGATAAAAAATTTAAAATATTAAAAAAAATATTTTTTTAAAAGAAAGTTTCGAAGTTTCACTTCAAAACTTACCCATATATCCAATGCCCAATAATTGAAAGTCGAAACCTACAAAATAGAAAAAAAAATTAAAAAAATTATTCTTTAAAGAGTTTCGATTCTTTCACTTCGAAACTCACCTATATATCCAATGCCCAAGAACTGAAAGAAATCTACAAAATAGAAAAAGAAACAATTAAAAAAAATTACTTTTAAAAAAAAGTTTCGAAGTTTTAACTTCAAAACTTACCCATATATCCAACGCCCAATAATCAAAAGCTGAAATCTACAAAATTGAAGATAAAAAATTTAAAATATTAAAAAAAATATTTTTTTAAAAAAAAAGTTTCGAAGTTTTACTTCGAAACTTACCCATATATCCAACGTCCAATAATCGAAAGCTAAAATCTACAAAATTGAAGATAAAAATATTAAAAAAATACTTTTTAAAAGAAAGTTTCGAAGTTTTAACTTCAAAACTTACCCTTATATCTAAAGTCCAAGAACCAAAAGTCGAAACCTACAAAATAAAAAAAAAAATTAAAAAAATTATTCTTTAAAGAGTTTCGATTCTTTCACTTCGAAACTCACCTATTTATCTAAAGCCCAACCGAAAGTCGAAACCTATAAATAGAAAAAGAAAATTAAAATAAAATTAAAAAAGTAATTTTTTTTTAAAATAAGTTTCGAAGTTTCACTTCGAAACTTACCCATATATCCAAAGCCCAAGAACCGAAAGTCGAAACCTACAAAATAGAAGAAAAAAAAATTAAAAACATTTAATAATTTTTTTTAAAAAAAGTTTCAAAGTTTTCACTCCGAAACTCACTCATATATCTAAAGCCCTATAACCGAAAGAACCTACAAAATATAAGAAAGAAAAAATTACAAAAAATAGTTTTTTTTAGAGTTTTAAATTTTTCACTCCAAAACTCACCTATATATCCAACAATTTTTTTAAAAAAAGTTTCAAAGTTTTCACTTCGAAACTTCATATATCCAAAGCTCAAGAACTAAAAGCCGAAACCTACAAAATAAAAAAATACAAATAAAAAAATTTTTTTCCTATCAACGCCAATAGAAGAATAAGGGCAAAAGAAAGGAAAAGAACGAAATAAGGGAGGGGAAATAACGAAATAAGAGAGAGGAAAAAAGGGAGAAAGAAATAGATAGAGGTGAAGGAGCCACATTAAAAAAACATGCTTTTTTTTTAACTTGATCTGGATAATCTCACGTTAAAGATGGTGCTGCAAATAGGTAATTGCGGCAAATAATCCGTAATTGCGGATAAATTGCGGAATTGCAAAAAAATATATAATTTTAAACTTATTAATCGAAAACGATTATTTCTTATCATTAAAGTAAAAGAAAAAAATCATTTTTCATTAATAATTTTTAAAAAAGAACGATTTTTTTTAAAAAAATGGATCAGCCGGTCAATTTGACGGTTATTGATGTTCCGGCTGATTTGATTTTTTTAATATTCAGTCATAAACCGGATAATTCAACAAATATTGGATAATCCGTCAAATTATCCAGCCGAAATGCCTTTTTTTGGTGTTTTTTTTTATGTATTAATTAATTTAAAAACAATATATATATTAAATATTAATATTTTTATATTAATTAAATTAAAAAGATAAAAAAGATAAAAAAAGGCGATTTGGCCAGAAAATTTGATGGATATTGGATAATCTGTCAAATTATCCGGCCGAATTTGGATTTCTTTATTTGCGAAAATGCATTTTTTTACCAATTCAAATGCATTTTTTGAAAAATATGATAGAAACTGTCAGTAAAATGTGTTTATAATAATGCTACAGTTCCACATTTGCAGACTAATTGCGGAATTGCACAATTGATTGTCAAATATTATTGATATTAATTAATTAAAAATTTGGTTAAAAATCGTCAAAAAAGTTTTAAGTCGATTGTCATTGTTAATAAAAAATCGATAAAAAAAAGTATTGGTCGATTTATGGTTTTTTTTATATTACAACTCAACCATAAATCGACCAAAAATCTTTATGCCAAACTTTTTCTGATTTTTGTGATTAGCCGAATGTGTGACAAATCACGTGATGACGATAATGAACTTTTGACAAAAGGTATTAATGCCGAAAGAAATGATTTCGACCAGTGTATATTGTTGAGACAGAACAGTAATTCACTTGACAATAAAGTTGAATCTAAATAAATGCCGAAAAAATTTTTTAATTTATCTTAAAATAAACAGCAAAATATGCAATAACAACCTCACAGAACATTTCATTCATGCATTTATCATTATCATAAAGTAGTGATTTTATCGCAAAATGATGAGTTTTGTAAACCACGCTGTATACTTCTAAGCAATGACCTTCGTATATCTTAATAACATTTTTAAATTCTTCATATTTGTACAGTTTGAGTAAGTCATTGTTAATTGAATCTTCAATCTACTGCATTAGAAATTGGAATAATTAGAAAGAAATATAACTTTATCGTTAATTGTTATTATATAAGATATTATAGTTACATCGAAATTATTTATGATATAATGATACTAAAAAAAGAAATTCAACAAATTGATAAGAAATCACGTGAAGTTTATTACATATGTCTAACGCTAATAAGAGAAGTAGGCCTTTTGTAGAACTTTTACGTAATTACTATGAGCATATTTAAAATGTCAAGGTTATCATGTGCTTTTTGATGGCTTTTAATATAAAAATTCTCAAATCAGTGACCCACTCAATCAGCCACAA